TGTAAAATCCCTCGTTACACCATAAAAATGATGCTGATGTGAGTAGCGGAAAGGAAAAAGAGCCACTGGCTCTCTTCCAGTTTCACAACCCGTCTTAAAGTTACCAAAATGAACTGTTCAAAAATTGTTCACATGGCTTTTTGGATTTTTGTTCACTTTCACGGAATTTGGAAATGTTGTAAAAGTTTGTTTACTCGTTCAGTCAGTCTGTCACGTTTTATTGCAGTTTATAACATGAAAAGTTTTTTCAATAGACTTCAATCGAAAGAATTTTAGAAAAAATCAAGGAGGAGAACTACAAAAAGGGCTGAGGAATTTTTCCCAATTGCATTTGATCAACTTGACTGACTGCTAAAAAAATTAGCAGTAATAATTTCGCCAGGACGAATGTATTTGTTTGATAAAAAAGGGGTTCTTTTTCAGTTTCCATCCACTTTTCAAAATGCCTATTTGTCTGCAGTTTTCTTGCGTGTTATTATGGCTAAAGGCGTGATGTAAAGTCTGAAGGAAAAATCATTATCAATTGCTAGTTTGTTCACTTCGTTTAGTTTCATTTCATTCTTAAAAGGTTACTGTAGTTTTCAAAACTACAATTTAATGGTGTTGGGAGTGGAAAAAGCCAAAATCAGGTGAACTTTTTCACTCCTCCTCCCTACAATTGAAAACTTGGCTCTTTTCCAGTAACCCCTAACCCCCTTTTGAAATTTTCTGATATTCAGTATATGAAGTCTATTTAAATGACTTTTCATGTAATATGTTGAATTAAAACGTGTCAGCGCGAAAAAATTTCAACAAGAGCTCGGACTTGCAAGTTACCGTGTGAAAAATTTTTGAACAGCTATTTTCGCATTTTACGAGGGGAATGGGAACTGGAATGGAGCCGAAAACTTGAAAAAGCATTGTCATAAATAAAAAAAAAACAAATTTAAAACTAGCTTTTTTGAACAGGTTTTTTCGTCTTACTTTGAGAGTAACATGATGTATTTAGCAAAACTAACACGTAAAAAATCTTTGAAAGTATGAAATTTGAAATGCGGCGGATTGGAAAAGAATCAGAAGAGGAACAAAAAAAAATATGGGATTTGCTGTTTTTTATGTTTTTTGGACTCTTCGGAAAATTTGTTCCCTATTCTGCAAATTATTTTTTTTTCAAATTCCAAAAAGCGTAACCACTGGAAGTACCGCCCTCTTAGCTGGGTGCTTGCTTATACGCCCAGTCTCTTTTACCGCACCACTCGAAAATATCTGTGGGAGACTGTTTAGCCCATTTTTTTGAACTTTTTTCATCTTCTCGAAACTGAATTTGCGAATCTAAGGTTTTGAATTCAACAGATGAAACAGGTTGTAAAAAATTCTCGTTAATAAATGGTTATTTCCTATTGTTTTTTCACAAAAGGATATTACATTCGGAAAAATCAAAGTTTTGATTCTAAATACTATTTAAAACTTTTTGACTGCCCTTCGAAATCTTTCATTTTGGGTTGAATCAAAAGAATGGGATATAGGAAGCTCCCTTGCAAAAATGGTTCAATTTTACGCACAAGAAGAGTTATGGTTAACCGAAAAGCCGAATTTCGGATTTCTTGTCTGTTTTCTGAAGTTTTTTGACATTTTTCAAAATTAATTCGCTGAATCTGATCTCACTTTTGTAAGAAAATGTCATAAGCTCGGAAAAATGCCAAGTTCTCAAAAAGTCAACGCACCAGTACAACAATTTAAGAAACATGGGCCCCTAGTGATGCTTAATTGCGACGAGGAAGGTTAGGCTAGAGAATGACCTGATAAAAATTGAAAGATATTTTACAAACAAAGATGTGGCCTTTTTCCTTTCCTATCTGGCTTGATCTCCCTATGGTTTGATGGAAATTTTATGAATAGACTTTTGTTTCAATAAAAATTTTGGGAAAAGTTTCAATGTTTGGCTCTTTTGTAATTGCAAAATTAATTCTATGCAAAAATAAACAATTTTTGAATGCAGTTGTATTTTTTGCCTATAACGTAACCCAGACACTGGTTTTTCATACAAAGTATAAAAAAAATCCAAGAAAGTGTTTTATGTGAAGCTTGAATTCTTTCTGAACGCCAAAAAAGGACAAATCTTGTCATGAAACAGGCTGCGGTTTATAAATACTCATGTTTTAAAACGAGGAATTTCAGCCCTTAACAAAATTTGGGGAATCTGCCTTTGTAACTTTTTTGGAGAATCTGGCCCTCTATCTTGTCTGTTTTCTCATTCGAGGGAATCTTTGGTTCATATGTTTTCGGACAAAACACAAAAACAAAAGCAAAGAAAATTATCAGTTTTCACTGAAGGAGAACGCCACTGTCACAATTTTGATGCAACGGGAAAATGGTAGTCTTACAATGAAAAAACTATCAAAACGAAGCCAAACTGTGTATTTTTTTGAGAATTGATTGAGAGCAGATTCTGCACCAAGGACCCTCTTTTTGATCTGCTTTTGTTCTTTTGTTTCCTTTGATCGTTTTGAATAAATTTCAACTTGTTTAAAAACATTTTTCTGGATTCCAGAGACATAGAAACACGAAACTGTGCGTCTATACAGTTTGGCCTCGTTGTGCACAAAGTGCACAGTTTGGCCTCGAAATGATTTTCTGCGAGCTTACCCTGAAACTTTGCCCATCAAGGGTGAAATTTTTTGACCAGCTTTTTTTTCAACCGTGACATTTTTCATAATCGCAGTGAAATTCAAAACTGATTCAATAATTCTTCAGAAAAGCTTGCATTTTTATTACATTCATTCTGATCCATTCCGAGGTCAAACTGTGCACTGCATAGGCGCTCAATTGTGTTCCAGCGAAAGTCTTTAAAAACATGTTAAATTTTGACGGAAGGAAAAAAAAGTAAAGAAAAAAAAAGATAAACAAAGAGAGCTTCCTTATTGTGGAATCCGCTTACAATTCCCAAAAGACACAATTTGGCCGAGTAATTTCCAGACGGAACAACGATAATTATTCGAAGAAATGGAAAAAGGATTCTACTTTTGTCGCATTACTTTTTGTTTCCAAACTATCTTTTTGCAACCACTATGCTATAGCCAGTTACTTTCAAGCGTTATGATAATAGATTAAGTATCAAATCAGAAAGAAGCAGGCTGCGTTCAAATAAAAAAATTGTAATATTTGGGAGTTTCTTATCTCATGTTAGACTGAAAACTTATTGACAAACGCCTTTTTGTCAACCGGCCTTTTTTATGCGTGCTGCTCAACATGCGGCTACTGGCGCATTTAGAACTGAGTTTGTTTTCGCATTTTGCCACTAAAACTCACACAGACGCGTGCCGGATCAAACAGTAAATCTTTTCTTTGTTCATGCTATATAGCAGGCATGCAAGTTGCTCTGCTAATTCAAAAGTAGATCAGATCATTTCAAAAAATGTTTCGACTGCCGTATAAAATCAACAGAGTAGTTTTCAATTTAAAAATTTTGATGAAAATTCCTCGTAAAGAAAAAAGTCAAAAATCATACCATCACATGCCATATAAAGTACGAAGAATAGGTTCCACTATAGAAACGTAACGCTGAGAAAGAATAGCCTGCCCACACTGATTGATTTGGATCAATTTAAAATTATTGTTTTAGGGTTATTTTAAGCCCCAGCTAAAAATTTTATCCACATCCATTTTTTCTAGCCTTTAAATATTTTTTATTTTTGGGGGATCAAAACATATTGAAATCAATTTGAATTGATTTTTTTGAAATTTGTAATTTCATCGGTTTTGAGTTTGTGTTGCATTTATTCATCTGCAATCATTTTTGTTTTTAGACCCATATCTTTTGATAAAATTTTAAAAAGAACAAATAGTTTTTCAAATTCAATTTCATTCCAGTTTTGAAAGAATTAAGTTGCCATCTTATTTATGTTGATCACTTTTATAATTAGTGTACATTTTAAGTTTGCTCAAAATCTTGTTTACAATATTGATTTTCTTCGATTTAATTGCATGTGTTTGACCTCAAAATCTAATTTACATCAATTTGAAATAGATTTTTAGTCAACAATGGATTTAAATGATTTATGGCGAGAATCGGTTGGATTTTAGTGAATACTAAAATCCAATTAACATAGATTCTTCAGAAACCTGATCTAAAAATTTCAGAAAAGATCGACAAAATCATTTTAAAATCCCTTTCAGTTCCTAAAGAGTACATTGTTGATTATGATTGCTTTAAAATCAATTTAATTTGATTCAAAACCTTTTTTGTTATTGCGCGTGTCTCAACTGAAACGGATTGATTCGCTACGTACGCGTTAGAAAAGACGTATTTCGCCAGTTAATTGTCCCAATTGAGCTATTTTCAAACGCCATAAGTAGTGACATAATTTTTTAAATTCAAGCCCAAGACATCACTAAATTTCAGATGGTATAAAAAAATTCAGCTAAAAATTGTCGGCTAGAAAGTCAAAATTTGTCTGCAGAAAAAAACCCATACGTGCCCAAATTTTCAATTTTTGTCACTTTCTCCAAAAGTTGGAACAGTCTCGCTAGAAAGTCAAAATTTGTCTGCAGAAAAAACCCATACGTGCCCAAATTTTCAATTTTTGTCACTTTCTCCAAAGTCTCGCTAGAATCTTTGGACATAGAGGGATAATAATTACTTATGTTTGATCTTTTTGTTACAACTATGCGTTTGTAAACACTGTTTAATTGCAGGAACCATAGCAACAGCTCTAGCTCCGACTTATCAATCCGAGCTGCAATTCAGCGCAATCAAATTCAGCGACAATTAATTGTTAGTGTTAAATGAAAAACCCAGAGTTGTCATTCTATCCAGCAGATAAGGTCACCTTCAACGTCAAAACGAAGTTTTTCAAGTCTATTTTGTCGTTTTTTCAAACTCGTCGACAACAGTCTATCAAGAAACAAAAAATTAGCGTTGAATAAAATAAAAAACAGAGTTTAACCTTACATGAAATAATATTTTTTAATACGGTTTTCTCTAACATATGAGTTAATAAAATATTGACTTCTTTTTGTGGTCATACTTTGAGTTTTGATGGCTCGTTTTCTTGCGTTCTTTCGTTATATTCATTTTCTTCTTCTTTATGATGGCCAGTAATGTCTCTATAAATGCTCCTCTCCAGAGAAAAGGGGCAATTTTTGATTGGCTCATAAAGAGTCAGCAGAAATGTTTTGAAGTTCGAGTCCAAATTGTACTTTTCTAGTTTTCTGGGCATGTTCGCGAAGTCGCACACTTCAATGTAGTTCCGTTCCAGTTGTTCCTGGGGATCCCAGATGGGAGATCCGTATGCGTTGTACCAAGAGGCTCTAAGGCGTATTACACACATTTCAGCGCATATTTAAGCGCATATTTACTATTCGTTGACCAAAGATGCTTCAAAAAAGGGAGGCCAATTAAAAACCACCCCTTCCCTAATTGACAAATAGAGCTATATCATAGCTTCTAAATGAAAACCAAATACACAAAGGCGGGTTGATGATAAATAGTTCAAAACCGTTTGACCGATTGAAGTTTTTTCTAGTGTCGGTGGAAAAATTTAAAAAATGAAAAATCGAAGACAAAAACATCCAAATCCACGCGATGTCTCTTAAAATATCGGACGATTTTTTCCGTAAGAAAATTAAAATAGATTTTAACATCCTATCATTATGTTGAAAAACCTAATAGTTAAAAAAAATTTAAAATAAAAATGTACAAATATAAAAGATCTTAATAGTTCGAAAAATATAATTTTTAATGAACCAAAAACAGATAACTCAAAGTTTGTTGCGAGCTCAATAAAAATTAGTTATATTTGGAGATGAAATTTAGCATAATATTTTAACCTCTTGAATGAGACATATAACAATCTTTTGACAACAGCTGTCAATTTGCAGAATAGCTCCTCCCCCATTACGAACTCATTGTTTTTATTCATTTCCCAGGGGGGTTCTTGATCTCCTGGGTTCATCAGAAATCGGCAGCGAGAATCTTCGTCTAATTGCACGAACCGAATAAAGTCTTCAAAGAATTGGTCGTCTATTTTAGCCCCAAAAATGTCAAACCAAGCTTTCTTGCATTCCTGAAACCATACTAAGAAATTAAAATAGCGCCGGGTTGAGATAGCATATTTTGATCCTTTTTGAGAGGGGACTTTTTTGGTACTAAAATTGAGTTTTCTAGCTTTAGTAAAAACACTTAAAAGACCCTATTTAGCCGAAAACACTCTGTTCCACATGTAAGTTTTTCAAAACATGAGCCAAAAACACCCGATTTTTGGGATTTTCTTAAAGAACATTTTGTATAAAAATTTGGCGTTTTTGTCCGCTCTACCTCAAAATTAGTAAAAAATGCATCGAAGGCTCCTTTAAAAAAATTTGGGGTTGGTCGGAAAAAAACAAGGTATCGTAAAATAGCACCATGAAGGCACCAAAACAAACTATTGGTACTAGGGTTATGTAATAATCCAGTGTTTGCTGGCATTGACGAGGACGTTGAAAAATTTAGTGACACCTTAAGTTAGAAGTACCTGTAGCGTGATTTGGTTCTGTTTCTGAAGAGCCGCTTTTTTGAAACGAAGTTTCATGTTGTTGAAAAAGTGCTCATCAGGAAAGCAACGTTTGTCCAGATACTGCGCAATTGTCATCTCTGTAAGAACAAAACTAATAATGGTTCCGATCATTAAACATGGAGAAAAACTTTGACTTTAGGTGTGTTTTAGATTTTTATTTTTTTTGGGGTTTTCCACGATAAATCAGGTAGCACAAGCTGTCATCGTGATGAAATGAGAGATAATTCATTTGAAAGCCTTTTCGGTTGTGAACCGAACGACCTTTAACTGTTGGGAAAAACTGTTTGGATATTTTTGAGTTTTAGTCCAATTTCGAGTGAGTAACCTGATCAAGTAATGTTTTTTAACAGTTTCGAAAGCTTTCTTTAAGACTTCCTTCGCAAAGAAAGTTTCTGAAAAAAAAATTGTTGCAAAAAAAAAAGAAACTGCAAAAAAAAAATTAGAAACATTTTTTTTGTTTCTTTTTCATTTTTTGAAGTCAACTGCTATAGATAATGCCTAATTTTCCAATTTTTTAGGCGTTTGCTTATCTGTCTGATCACATCACGCACAAAATTTGGCACCAATTTACTTATATACGATTGTGGGTGGAACTTTCTGTGCTATTGCATCGGCTATCCTTGTTCTTTTCTGAACAATGCGTAATCTTGGTTTTTGTTTTTAACATTTAAGGCTAGGAAAAACTTTTTCGTAGGGTGCGTTTTTTTTGTTTCGACAACTGAACTTTCGATGATTTTTGTCTTTGCGAGTATTTTTTTTTCTTTACTTTATCCAGTGCTACAAACAATACATCAGTATAAGTCAAATGATATTCATATTAAAGCCCCTGAAAAATTTAGAAAAAATCGATTTTTAATTTTGTATCAAACTTATAAAAGGTAGTTTTTAAAACATCATTTAGCGATTTCATGAACTTTCCTTTTTAAATGTTCAAAAGTTGGCGGGAAAAATAAAAAGGGAGGGTTAAGTTTTAAAAATACACAATTTTTGTTATTTATTTTCGAACACAAATGCAGTAAAAATTGCGCCATTAATTTCCTTTTAATGCTGTTTTCTTATTCATCTCAGTGCAATAAACACAAAAAATACACAAAAAAATTCGAAGAAAAAGAGTCTTTTTTGTTTTGCATGTGGATAGAACTATCTGTTCTCCTTGCACAGCAACCGGCTATTTTTGTTTTCAGTTTTTTTTTTCAACAAAAATCAACCAGCTACACAAAATGCAAAATCAGTTCAGACGAATAGTTATCAAACTTTTTTCAGAACTTTACAATAAAAAAAACCCATTCAGACGAGAGTCAATCAACATTTTGAAACATTTTTGAAAGTTTTTCTTAGTGTCCAGAAAAACCGGCAGGAATTTTTTAAACTTTTTTTCTCATTTACTTGTGTGCAAACAAACTTACATCATTTTTATACAATTTTTTGTATAATCCTTTTTAAGGTGATAAGCTTCCAGTGTGAATAGTTTTTCAAGCTTTTTCAGCGCTTTCCCGACAGAAAAATTCTTGACAAAGTTCAAAAAGTGTTTTCTGCCAAAAGCTTGAACAATTTCAGGAAGAAATTTAGCATTATTCTGCTCAGTTTTTTAATCAATGCCAGATATGTCCAAGTCCAAGGCTATTTCTTCCGACTTCTAAAGAAAGTGAAGAATAAGTTCAGATCACTTTTACAAAACTCTGATTGCACGGGGGGTAGATCTCTTGGTCTCCTTGGCGCCAACCGAATGTGAACTCTACTACAGTAGCCTGCCATGAAAAGATGTAACACTAATTGTTTTAGTACCCGGTACTAGAAAATCGTTCCAAATTGATGAAGTGAGGCATCTAATTGGTTTGTCAACAGAAACCAAAATGCAATATTTAATTTTTGATATTATCAGCCTAAATTTCATAGGTTTGCCAATAATTAATTTACCAAAAACTAACCGAGACCAATTAAAGGGCAGTTGAAACCTTGAGGGTTTTGTCCTGATACAAGCAGTCCTGTTTTCATATCCTCTGAGCACACAACGAACCAAAAATAATCGACTTTTCAACAAGCAGTTTGTTAGAGGATATCTCAACTCTCTGAAATTTATAGTTTTTTTTTAATCCCAAAATGTGCGTTAAATGCTGCCAAACTTATCAAATTAAAATAAATTATGTGCGTGGTATCAAATTTCCTTTTAAAATGCGAGCGATGAATTAATGCTGAAAAATTAGTCCGAATTAAAGCTAATCAATTGTCTTCAAAATATGTTAATAGTAGACGTGAGTTTTATTGTTGGCACTCTAAATTGCACGCAGAGTAGGGTTTGAACCAAATCTTTTTTCGGAGAAGTATCGAAATAAACTGATTTGCATTTCATGAAGATTAAGTCAAACTTAGAGTGCGGAAAGTGTGCGAGTAACGCAAAAAGCTCATTTTTAAAGCATATTCATTAATTGAACGTTTTGTTTTTAGTCGCGAAAAACTATGATTTGAGCCAAATTTGGCGCTACCGAGTACTAAAGATTGCAAAATTTTTAAAAGAGTTTGAAAAATTTGAAAAAAGGATAAATTTTCGAAACTTGTTGATTTTTTCTTTTTCTAATATTTTTTGCATGTAATAAAATATAGTAGAAAAAAAAACGTCAAAAAATATCTGGAAGAAACTTGAAATTTATTCACTCATACCAAGCATTTGCAAAAATGATTTTGGTCGAAACTTTCTGCTCTACTTGCATAGCAACCGGCAACTCCTGTTTTTTTTATTTGTTGGATGAATACAGAATCCAATTGCAAACTAACGCAGCAAAGGTTTGAAATCGGTTGTCCATCCCAACACACTCTACTGACAACGACTTTTATATTAATGGGTCTTCATTATGAGGTCAAATTGTGCATTTTAAGAGTTGCAAGCGGATTCCGCAACAAGCAAAAATCAGATTTGTCGCGGAATCCGCAATATTGCTATTTTTCTTTGATCTTCTCTACTGTTTTGGATTCCATGGACAAATAGCTTAAACACTGTGTTGCCCAAAATCGCTCCAAAAACAGGCAACTTTGCGGAATTGGCAACAAAATGCGAGGAATCCGGAACCAGTTTGTGGAATCCATGAAAAAATAATACTGTAAGCGTTAAGTAAACATCAGCCGTCGCGGAATCCGCAACTGTAAGTGGAATCCGCAAAATGTAAGCGGAATCCGCAAAGACTGAGCGCATTTCGCAAATTTTAGGCGGAATTCGCAAATTTTAAGCGGAATCCACACAAATTTGCGGAATCTATTTACTTTTGCGGAATCCGGAACAAAAACCTCTGTTCGCTCGTTGCGGAGTTCGCAACAAAACCAATGTGCCGACAAAGTTTACATTACAGCTATTTGTACGCGGAATCCACTGAAAGTTTGTAAGAGGAACCCAATTACATTTTGGAACATGTTTAAAGACTTGTCTCTGGTAACCACGAACACACAGACACAAAAATGAGCGCCTATTTAGTGCACAGTTTGGCCTTGTAATGCAATTATGCTCTTCGGATCAATTAAAAGCGAAATTGAACACTTTTTCATATTGTATTTAAATTATAGTTAGGAAAAGTGCCAGAGGCTCCAACCTCCGAAAAAACTAGAAATTTTTCTTTATACGTCAAAGTTGTTTAAAAAAATCAGTGCAAGGAGTTTGTTTAGCAACTGGTGCATCAATTGGCTGTTCTTTTTTGGTTTCTATTTCTTAATGAGTACTCAAATTAAAAAAATCTAATTGTTTTTTTTGTACTTTTGGTTGTTTGTTTTTGTTTTTATATTGTATGTCTATTTTGGCCATCTTATTTTGATAAGCAATGACGATTTATGCTGAAAGTCAACTGATCGCTTCGACTGAGTATGTAAATCTGACATATCAACCTGAATATTCACTTAATTTCAAAGTATTACAACTTCATCTTACCTGAAAAAGAAACATTCTACCTGCTAAAATTTGATCAATTAAAGTTTTTAGTAACCAATCAGCAGATAAAAAAAACGAAATTGAAGATGTTATTAGTCGTGAAATGGTCACCTGCAAAAAACTACCACTTTTGCATAGCCTATTGCATATACTCGAAAAAAAAAGAAAGTCAGACGAAAACATTTTTTATGATGTTTAAATTAAAATAACTAAAAAGTAATTATTTTTTGCCTAGTTTTTCTACGCAAAAAACATTTTGTAATTTAATTTATAGTAGTTATAAAATTTACATTAGAGTTAAAAAATGATAGTTTTTTTTGAACATTTAATTTTATTAGGAACTGAAGAGAAGTCATTTCCCAGTTTTTGGTTCAAATTAAGCATACGATGTTACGCGATATCACGCGATGTCAAATCACGGTATCAGATCTCAACACGCGGTTAATTTTCCATACTTCTATATATATTTGAATGTTTGAATCCACTTACATTTGCGGAATCCGTCTACATTTGCGGAATCCGGAAAAACTACCTATATTCGCTCGTTGCGGAATCCGAAACAAAATCAATTTGCCGACAAAAATTACGTTACAGGAATTTGTACGCGGAATCCACTAACATTTTGGAAGCCGTTTAAAAACTTGTCTCTGGAATCCAGGAACATACAGACACAAAATTGGAATCCAGTGCACAGTTTGGCCTCGTAATGTTCTCTGTTTTAAGGCCCAAAATTCATCGTTTGCTATCTTGAAGTTGGATCATAATGATGATTCTGGTTGGATGAAATTAACAATATCCAAGGAAACCTGAAGCTTATTTTAAACGTATTTCAAACGCTCATTCAAAGTTTAATTTTGGGCCACCGAACAGAAAAGACCCGAATTGATTTGTATAACACCTTTTACTTCAATAAAGCTTCACACCAACGGTGATTTTTAAATTTTGATGCTCATGCTTAACCAAGTCTATAATCACTGGTCACTGTATTTATTATTATGTTTTTTATAATTCGAGCAGAGCAAATACATTAAGACCAAAAAACTAACTTTAAGTGGAAGAAAGAAAAAATGAAAATATAATTATTTTTACCTTCGAGCGTGTGCCAGTCGATAGGCAGTTCAAATCTAGCCCCCCTGAATTCCAACCCAGTCCCCACCTCCTTGTTCAGTTTCTCATATCTCTTCTCCTGAATATAAAAAAACAACTGTAGTTTCAAACTATGTTTCTAACTTTGAAACGAGAGTAAGAATAATGACCTTTATCTCGAGGAGTTCATATGCTTTCTTTGCTTTTTCCAGCAGCTGTTTCTGAAACAAGAACAAAAAAAAGATAGTTAATATTAAAACATCAAAGTTTTTCTTCAGTTTAAAAAGTTATTAATGAATGCTTGCATAAATAAAAAAGGTTTAAAAAGTTATTAATGAATGTTTATATAAATAACGTTCAATCATTGAAAAATGATAGAATTTGCATGAAACATTCTAATTGTTATGAGGTGTTCTGCAGTCTGAAATGATAAACCCAAAAAAACATTCGTACGGTTCCTAAAATATACATTTTTCTGGCATGAATGGCAACCCGCACCGGAGTTCCATGGATAATAATCGATTATATTGAATTTTCGTGGTCTGTCTCAATAAATTTTGATAATAATCGATTATAATCGATTAAAAATGGATTATAATGAAACTATTTTTCTTATCAATAAAATCC